CACCAGCATTCTTCTCGAAGCTAGAACAAGCAATCCTAAAATTTGTATGGAACCACAAAAGGCCCAAATAACCAAAGTGATATTGAAGAAGAAGACCAAAGCAGGAGGCATCACAATCCCAGACTTTAGCCTCTACTACAAAGCTGTAATCATCAAGACAGCATGGTATTGGCACAAAAACAGACACACAGACTAATGGAATAGAATAGAGACTCCAGAATTGGACCCACAAAAGTATGGCCAACTAATCTTTGACAAAGCAGGAAAGGATATCCAATGGAAAGAAGACAGTCTCTTTAACAAATGGTGCTGGGAGAACTGGATTATCAACATGCAGAAGAATGAAACTAGACCACTTTCTTATACCGTTCACAAAAATAAACTCAAAATGGATGAAGGACCTGAATGTGAGACAGGAAACCATCAAAACCCTAGAGGAGAAAGCAGGAAAAAACCTCTCTGACCTCAACCGCAGCAATTTCTTCTTGACACATCTCCAAAGGCAAGGGAATTAAAAGCAGAAGTGAACTATTGGGACCTCATGAAGATAAAAAGCTTCTGCACTGCAAAGAAACAATCACCAAAACTAAAGGGCAACCAGCGGATAGGGAAAAGATATTTGCAAATGACATATCAGACAAAGGGCTATTATCCAAAATCTATAAAGAGCTCACCAAACTCCACACCCGAAAAACAAATAATCCAGTGAAGAAATAGGCAGAAAACATAAATAGACACTTCTCTAAAGAAGACATCCAGATGGCCAACAGGCACATGAAAAGATGCTCAACGTCGCTCCTCATCAGGGAAATACAAATCAAAACCACACTCAGATACCACCTCACTCTGGTCAGAGTGGCCAAGATGAACAAATCAGGAGACTATAGATGCTGACGAGGATTTGGAGAAACGGGAATCCTCTTGCACTGTTGGTGGGAATGCAAACTGGTGCAGCTGCTTTGGAAAACAGTGTGGAGGTTTCTCAAAAAATTAAAAGTAGATCTACCCTATGACCCAGCAATAGCACTGCTAGGAATTTACCCAAGGGATACAGGAGTGCTGATGCACAGGGGCACTTGTACCCCAATGTTTATAGTAGCGCTTTCAACAACAGCCAAATTATGGAAAGAGCCTAAATGTCCATCAACTGATGATATATTAACTGATGAATGGATAAAGAAATTGTGGTTTATATACACAATGGAATGGCAATGAGAAAGGATGAAATATGGCCTTTTGTAGCAACGTGGATGGAAATGGAGGGTGTTAGGCTAAGTGAAATAAGTCGTACAGAGAAAGACAGATACCATATGGTTTCATTCTTAGGTGGATCCTGAGAAACTTAACAGAAGATCATGGGGGAGGGGAAG